ATGGTGAGAACCAAGCTGCCAGCCTACAGGCTCCAGCTCCAGCTGGGTGCTGGTGGCTAGATGGGAGGGAGCTGAGGAGGCTGTGAGAAACGCCGCCTCGGGGAGGAGCACAGAGGCCAAGCTGTGACACCCAGCACCCTCCCTCCTCCTCTCAGCACTGCTGTGTTTGTGTGGGCTGTTTCCTCCCACTGAGCTGCCTGGGCTCTGCCTTGCACAAGGGACAGCTGTGGGGGGCAGGTCCACAAAAAAACAGGGGTCGGTCCTGGCCCTAAATGCCTGCAGTGCTGTGCTGCCAAGAGCAAAGAGCAGCTCTAGAGCCATCCTTCCCCTCCTCTGCCCAGGGAGCCTGCAGGAGCACAGACAATGCTGAACTCCCTTCCCTATGTGAGCCAGGCTCAAAGCATTTCCTTTATCCAGCACACAGAGGTGCTTAAATCCTCCTGCAGCCCCCATCAGCACAGCTCCTGACCCTCTCCAGGAATGGGTCTGGATGTCTGTAGCACCCTATGGCTGAAGGTGTGAGCTGCTCCCATGGAGGGCTGTAACCAGCTCCTGGGCCCACTGCTGAGCCGCACAGAGTCACTACTGATCCATGCCCCCCAGTACCTTCTCTCTGCCTTCTACCCCTTCACCTCAGGTTTGTTCTCTTTTCCCTGGAAAAGTGGGGTCAAGTTCCCTGCTACACATCTGTGCAGCCCACCTGCTCACCACAGGGATCACAAGGGGACCAGAGGTCCCTACATGGCTCTGTCCACTGTACCTCTCCCATGGCATGCCCAGCAGGGGGGTGGGAGCAGGGTGTCCCTCCCACCTTCTCCAACATCCAGTCCCACACCACAGACCTTGTGGCAGCAAACCAGCCCTGCGTGCCTGCAGACAATGAGGCTCCCCCACCCCAGGGCTCCCCCTGTCTTCCCACTGTGGGCCCCATTGCTTAGGGTTCTTTGGGTGGTTTAAAAATAAAAACAACTTAAAAATAATGGGTTATCTGAAGAACCAGCAGTCTCTGATCCAGGGATGAGGGCTGAGGGAACTGGGGACAGGGCAGGTGGCTGCGGTGGCCCACAGGTCATGGGATGCAGGGAGCCTTACCTTGTGTTGCAGCAACTGTGTCACCCCCAGCAGCGGTGGGCAGAACGGACAGGTCCTCACTGTGTCCTCTGGGATGGTGACACCGGGGAGGAAAGAATGGTGAGTGTCACAGAAGGATGCTCTGATCCAGCACAGTGCAGTCTCCCTGTCCCCAGCGCAGCCTCCCCATGTCTGACCCAGCACATTCCTCCCCAGCTGCCCCTCTCTGCCAGGTGTGTAGTAGGGACAAGGAAGGGGTCGATGCATGCAGGGCCACCTGACTCCATCCCTGTGCTGGTGGCTGCCCGGCAGTACTCACCTCCCCAGTCAGCCATCGCTGCCTCACTGTAACAGCAGAGGTAGCGAGTGGGTGAGCAGAGGCGTCCCCCCCCTAGATAATGTGACTTCCTGCCACTGTCACACCTCGGACAGGAGTGCTTTGACGTGGCCACTGTGCTCAGTGCCACCAGAACTACACACTGTTGAGGTGTTTAAGCAGGGAGGGGAGCTGCAGCAGGCAACCCTGCACAATGGCTGGACAGAAGCTGGGATTCAGTGTGCAAAGGCACTGCCAGCATCCCCACCCCCTGCTCCAGTGCACTCCAGCACTCACAGATCACCCCCACTCTCTGCTCCATGCAGCCCCAGTGCCACCAGCACCCAGCCAGCACCCTGACAGGTGGTTCCAGCACACTCCTAGCACCCACAAACCACCCCAACCTTCTATTCTGGCATAGCCCCACAGCCCCCAGCTCTGATACCCCCAGGGCCCTGTCCTCATGGCAGCAGGATGGATGCCGCCAGCTCAGAGTGCATCCAGGCCTCGTGGCCCAAATAGGGCTGCTTGTCGTGGCACACCACAGCTGCCCAGCACCTGGGATACCTCTCCCATCCCCAGCACCGCCCTGGGGCACACAGCAGAGGTGTGAGGCCGTGAGCCCTCGTGTCACCCACGTCACATCTCTTTCTGCCACATGACCCTGGGATGCAGCCCACCCTGGGTGCCCCAAACTCACCGAGCCCTCCCGGCCTCCCCAGACGGACAGAGCTGTGCTGTGCTGTGCTGTGCCTGCTGCCCCACGCCTGCCCCGAGCGGCCCAGCACCGCGAGTCGGGGCGGCTGTGGGGACGCAGCGCAGGGACGGCGCTGGGGTCTGCCGTGCAGGGAGGAAGAACAGGGCCGGCCAACCCCACCCTTTCAGTTCCCCTTTTCTGAGTTTCTGACTCAAAGCAGCAGCTGCGTTTCCTCCTGGAGATGGTCGGGGCCACCTCCACACTGTCACCTTCACAGTGCCACCAGCAGGCCCGGGTGTGGGGACAAGGCAACAGGGGCACAGGGCAGGACAAGGGGCTGGGGAGAAGGGCTGGAGTGTGAGAACCAGGCCTGGGGCTGGGAGCTGGGCTGTGGGGTGGGCAGTGGGTGGTGTGTGTGAAGGGCAGGAGGGCTTCTCCTGCACCCCGTGTCCCTAAAACCCCCGTGTCCCTGTGTATCCCTACTCCGCCCCGTGTCTCTGTGCACCCATATCCCCTACTACACCCAGCAGACCCCACGCCCCACAGCCGCCAAGCTCCTCTCTCCCGTCCTCCCCCTTCCCTGCATTCCCCGTCCCTCCCGCCAGAAGGAGGCGCTACGCTCCCAGCTATCCTTCCTCTCTATGATCCTCTCTATGGTCCTCTCACGTCTCCTTCCGCTTCCGGGTCGCTCCTTCTCTTCGGCTCACCAGCGGCAAGATGGTGAGCGCTGGCGGAAGGGGAGCGCGGGTTCGGCTTTATCCGCCTCCATCCGTCCCCGCGGCGGCTCGTTCCTCCCGCCCGAAGCACTGAGCGATGCGGGGGGCAGCTCGGCCGGCGGCTGGGCCGGGCCTGGGCGGTGGCGGAGGCCGTAAATGTGGGGCGATGGCGCGGGGCCTGTCCTGGGCGGGGGGGACGGCCGGGCCGCGCTTGGCAGCACCCAGCAGCACCCAGCAGCACCGGGACGGGTTGGCGTCTGTGCGGCTTCTGGCTGTGCTGATCGGCTTCTCCCTGCTCCTCCAGGTGAACGTCCCAAAAACCCGCCGGACCTACTGCAAGAAGTGCGGCAAGCACCAGCCCCATAAAGTCACCCAGTACAAGAAGGGCAAGGACTCTCTCCATGCCCAAGGTGAGGGCGGAGATGCGGGGGGGCAGGGCCCAGGGGAAGGCAGTCGGTGCCGAGGTGATGCTTTTAGGCTCAGCACACGGCTGTGGTGGGAGTGGGGATTTCATCTCATCAGTTGTGCAGCTGGAGGTTGGGGTCTGCAGGTGGTTGGTAGGAATGCCAGCTGTGCTTGTAGCATATCTGAGCTACTGCCTCAACGTACCTGGTTCTTCCTGCAGGGAAAAGGCGCTACACAAGGAAGCAGAGTGGTTATGGTGGCCAGACGAAGCCGATCTTCCGTAAGAAGGTGAGTGCTGCTCCCAGAAGGAGGGCTTGAAACCTTCCACACATCCTGCTGAAGAGGGACACTTCTGTCTCCTCAGCCTTGGTGTGTTCAGACCATAGTGTGGCAGCTCCGTGCAGGTGGAGCTGTCTAAGAACACAGTTCCCATCGCAGGCTGCTCCTCGTTCCTCATTAGGTCACCACTTTCTTACAGTGGAGTGATGCAGCATGTTTTTGCAAAGAAGCTTCTGCATGGATCCTGAGGCTTCGAGAGAATACCGTCTTAATGGATTTAATGCTTATAATGAAAGAAATTCTTGAAGCAGCAGTAGGAAGAGTGGTGTGTTTTGTTGCACATGCTGCTGTCTGTCTTCCTCCCAAATTTATGGAGTGCCTGGAACTGTAGTCATATAGTATGTTTTCCTTCTGTGCCCCTACCTACCTTCTGCTAAGGGATGGGTCCTGAAATCTGTGCTGTTACAGTAGGGAAGAACCTGAGGGCCATTTGCTGGAGCAGCTTTCCTCCAGTGTTACTGACCTCTGCAGGAGACCAGTCCTGCCCCAATAAATCCTTTTGCCACTGTTCTTTATAAACATGGGTAGGTAGAGGAGCAGACCCACTCTTTACTGGTCTTTAAGATGCCTTTTTGTGTTTAATGGAGCAAGTCAGCTGTGTTTAATCTCTTACTATGTTTTGAGAACAAGCTGATGAATCTTCTAATGGTAGAGATAATGGGCTTGGGCTTATCCTGAGAGCAGTAATTTATCTGCTTTTGGACACTTTGTTCACTCATGCACTGCTTCTCCCTTCCCAGGCCAAGACCACAAAGAAGATTGTGCTGAGGCTGGAGTGTGTGGAGCCCAACTGCAGGTCCAAGAGGATGCTAGCAATTAAGAGATGCAAGCACTTTGAACTGGGAGGAGACAAGAAGAGAAAGGTATGTGTGTGTACCAAGACTGGCTGATGATGGAAAAATCATCTGGGTGGGTGTGAACACAACTGTGGCTTTGGGGGGAGTACTGCCAGCAGCACAGGCTGAGCACTCCCTAAGTGCTGAGTGAGGCTCTGTATCAAGGGGAAGATTATCAGCAACATGCAATGCCTGGAGCAGCTGCAGAAGGGACAGACAGCAGCCTATGTGCTGCCAGGGTTGGAAGAGGGCAAGATTCAGTGGTGAATAAACTCACACTCATCTCTTCCTTCTTATAGGGCCAGGTGATACAGTTCTAAGCTGCATCCTGCTCATTTTTGGACCATATTAAAGTGTTTGGAAGTGATCTGGTACTTGGTTTTGTGTATTCTGTGCTGCTGGTGGGATGAGACTTGCAAGTACATTAACCCAACAGGAAGATATTCCTTGCAAAGGCTTTGTAACTTGATAGGCAGTGTTTCTTCAAAACCTTTTGTAAGCTAGGATCTCCTACCTTGCTTCAAGAGGTGTGTAATATATGTAGAGTACAGGTGCATCAAATCTACTGAGCGTTGCTTCTGGTAATGATCATGGTTTTTACAAGAACAGGGACCTGACCGTTTTCCAAAACTTGATTTAATTTTAGCTACCATGCTTGGTACTCTTGTACAGGTAGGCCTGCTTAGGAACATTTCAGTTGGAGTTGTAAACACAAGCATTAGAACAAATCAAGGCATCCAGATTGTGAAGTAGCCTGGAAGCAATGGTTAAGCATCTGTATCCTGCACCAGAAGGACCTTTAAGTTAAATGTTGCTGCCACCAGGGGAAAGCAAGCAGTTATTTCTGGAAAGGAGCTCACTAAGGAAGGATTCCCTGGTGGCCCCATGAAGGGTGGTGTGGGGAACTGTCATCTAAAGGGACAGACATTGATGAGAGGAAGGCTTGGGAATAAGGAAAAAGCCTCAAAGCTCAGCTTGGAGGCATCATACTTGATCACTTTAAGCAAATGGCTGCTAAGAAACAGTTGCTAAGAAGTGCTGTGATTTAGACCAATCCCTGAGTTCAGAAGATGGAAGGAGGTGACCACTCTCAGGACAGCATTGATTTTTTTCAGCAGGAACAGCTTTTCATAGGTGTGGACTAAATGTCCACAAGTGCGAGCTCCAGCCTGCCAAAGCACGCAGCAAAGCAGCTGGGCTACACTGCCCTTTTGTGCCTGAAATGCTGAAGAAGAGCTGTAGAGCACTGCATGCACCTCTTACGTATCTTTGGTAGTAATGGCATGAATTGTTGCCCTGCTGGGGGCCTTGTGACACCTTGGGAGAGTTGGATGAGATGCCAGAGAAAGGGTAACAGGAGAGAAGCAGCACCCCTTTTTCTGCTATCTCATGGTAATAGTCATGGGTATTTGCTACATTAGACAGAAGGTTCAGCATCCACAGAGAAGCTCTCGAGTAGTGAATGCTTTAGAACAAGGAGTGCAGAGCATAAGGCTTACCAAAAAAACAAAAATCACACCTCCTATAGCGGCACTACTTTGAGCAGTACAGTGCCTGTTGGGTTCACTTCTACACTCAGGGAGGAGACCCAGTTGTGAACCCCCCAGTCCCTGCTGGTTGGCAGGATCTGCTGGATGCAGCACGCTGGGTTGCAGGCCAGCCCATTGCCGAGGAAGGTGAGAGAGAAGGTGAAGTTCTGGGGTCCCCCAATTTCCTGCTGGTTTAGGACTGCCACAGCATAGGCTCTGTCAGATAGGGGCCGTTCCCACAGCTCGAAGTTCTTGTCCTGCCAAGAAGAAAATAAACCACAGGCTTGTGTTAGGGGAGGCAGAACCAGTTGTCTTTGTGCCTGTGTGCCTAAGCAGGCTTCAGGAACAAATGCGTTCACTGGGTTCCCAAACCCTGAGCACTGTCACAGATCTCCAGCGCCTGCTTTCTGAGGAAGCCTGCAGCCCATGTTGCAGAGCTCACCCCCAGCCAGGGCCTGCTGTACCTTAGTGATGCGATAGCCCTGCTTGCCCAGCGGATCCTGGTTGATGGCGATCACCTCCTTGTTCTGGAGCAGCCACTTGGCCTCTGGTTTCATGTGCCGCAGATCATTGGACATGAAGAGCGGCGCTGCCATGATCGCCCACATCGCCATCTGAGTCACTGCCTGGTCCCAGCTCAGCCCAAAGTTCCCAATCACCAACTGTGACAGGAAAAGAAAAATGCCCTCGTAACGTTGCTTGCCAAGGAGAAACTGGGCCAGCAAGCTGAGTGCTGGGAAGTGGCAGGATGCTAAGGGTGGTGCCTGTTTGGGGACTGGTTAGATAGGCTTGAGCTCTAGGAACAAGACCAGGTGGCTGCAGAAGACTAGCACGGCAATTCAGTGTGAACCAATGGTGGAAGTAAAGAAGGATCCTTACCTGGCCAAGCAGTGTTGAAGAGTCTGCTCCTAGATGCAGCTATTCATTGCTTGCTAGTACCCAGCTCGACACCTTTTTTTTTTCCCCTCTGATAGGAGTTGCACATCTGAGACTTTCTCCCAGAGGCATATCTGTGTTTGTTAGGATCTGGCACTGCTTGTATAGGCTGCAATACAGCAGCAGTGCTTCTCCTTCTGCACCCAACTGCTGTGTGCTCAGAATGCTGTTCTGCTGCTCTTTTCCATTTAGGGATCCCTCTCATCAAGTGTTTAATCCTAGGACTCCATCAGATCCTTTCCCCCAGTGTTTCTCCTCTCCGTCTCTCCCTCCCCATCCCTCTCAGGCTACAGCTAAGGAAAGAATTTTTTGCTGCAACTGGAAGGGTGTTGCTCTACTTGCCATGTCAGGGTCATTCCAGCCCCCTGGCCCAGCTATCTTCACAATGCTGTCCTGGTGAAGTGCTGTCCACTCCACAATACTCTTGATGCTGTTCCAAGAATCATAGACATCATAAAAGTTCCTCCAGTGATTGCAATACTGTTTGATCTCCGTGTAATTGGGCTGCCAAAACAATGAGTGTGATTAGTCAGAGAGCCTGACTGTACAAGATCGAGACTGTACACAAGGCTAGACTGCATCAGGGATATTCTGGGGGAGAACTGTTAGCTGACAGTGGATAGTATTCTATCTGAATGATGCTGGCTCCCAACAATTCTAGTCTGCCACATTCCAGACAGCACCATCCCAATTGTTCTCCTGGGAAAAAGTTGCAGCCACCTAGCTCTGCTAGAAAATCTCTACAAGTGCTATTTTACCAAAGGTGGGATGGGACCAGTGAGATTAAACTGTGTCATCCTATTACTGTTACAGTAATTATTATTTCAGTAATCACTGCTGTTTCTTGGGTTTACACCCTTTGGTGACTAATGCATCTATCTCTCTGGGAGGGAATGACCACATCCTGTCCTGGTGGAATGGGGGAAGGCAGCTATGGGTGGAGAGCAACATGTCACTCACAGACCCCGTCCAGCAAAAACCCACATGTAAACAACACAGAGCATTCCTGTTAAATAGGCTGCCCTAGAACTCTCATTCCAGGTCCCTCAAGGTGGCTGTTAGGCTGAGCATCCAGGAGGAATAACAGCAAGCTGCCTGCTAGCTGCGTCTGCGTTGCCAACATCTTGATGCTCAGCTCCCTGAAGAGGGAAAGCAGATGGATGCTGCTGTTCTTGAGCAAGCTCCAGCTGGTCTGTGCATCCAGCAGCTTGTCCTGGTGTGCTGCAGAATCCTACTACATTCTTTTCAGCAGAGTAGCTACTTGCCTCAGGTACACCTCAAGGCTGTAGAGGAAAAGTGGTTTTCCTCCACCTTGCAGTTTTATTCTCTGTCAGACCAGAGAGCAGCAAATTCCTTGGGAGGCTGCTATGAAGTGCTAATGCTTTTCTGTTCTTCCCACTGTGAGCCCTGAGAAATGCTCCCTACCTGCTGCACGGGCCTCAGGTAGAAAGGCCATTCACAGGAGTACACAATGGGTCTGCCAGTCTTGTTCAGGGCCAGAGACATGTTCCTGTAACCTAAAAGAAGAGAGGTTACCCCATCTCCTTGCTCAAGGAAAGGAACTAAACCAGTGTCACAGGTTCAGGTTTCAGCTTGACTCTTTTAAAAATGAAGGCTGAACATACTCTCATGACTCAAGTAATAAAGGGAGGAGAGAGGAGCTCGTAGTGGCAGCCAGCCTCCTGCCTCCAAGGAGAGGTGAGCTGCTTCATGGCTTTGCTATTTGTCCCGAGCAGCGGTGCTGCTCTGAGACTGCTGATCTCTTCATTACCCACTACCATGGTTTCAGCTGGGATAGAGGACATAGATGCAACCCTAGGAACAGGCTGCAGCTTTGCTGTGCGGTGTATTTTCCATCTAGAATCACAGCATCTTTTGAATTGGAAGGAACCCTTAGAGGTCACTGAGACCAATTCCCTGCATTGAGCAGAGACACCCACAGCTCCATCAGGTGTTAAAAGCCCCGCCCAGCCTGACCTTGAATGTCTCCAAGGACAGAGCACCCACCACCTCTCTGAGCAGCCTAAATACAAGCTGCAAACGCAAGTTGGTATCTTACCAAGCAACTGGGTACAGCACCAGTGGTTAACATTGTGGGAACATGTCCTTATGATGCATTTGTACCATATGGACTGAGCAGGAATAAAAAAGGCACTGTCCTTGTCCTCAGACAGCCCTGTTAAGTCCCTTCCAATCAGCGGAGAGGGAATGAAGCATTTGCTCTCTCTCCTGGAACTGCTTCAGTACCACTGGATTGCACCTGGGTTATCCATCTGATCCAGCCAGCTTCCAGCTCAGCTGTCGCCTGCGGTGCTGAGCTGTGCTCCAGGCACCAACAGCCAGCACACAATGGACCAACTGGCATGGAGCTGACTGTCACTTGGACAGGTTTTCTCTGCCAGACAGCCAGGATAAAGTGCAGGATTCCTGCTGCCAAACACTATTCCAGTAGGGAGAGCCCAGCCAACAGAAAACCAACTTCAGAGCCACATTGTCCTTCCTGCAGATCTGCACCTGGGGCACTGGGGCGTGCAGTGCTTGGAGGGGGCCTGCAGCCAAGAGTTCTGAGCGCAGCACTGAGCTCTCTACTGCTGACCCACCAGCCTGTGCATAACAACTTTAGAAATAGCATTCATAAAGGCACATTTAGAAGTGAAAATCCCGGTAGGTTTGTTGTGCCAGAATTCCCTTCTATTTTTTTCCTGCTAAAAGCCCTGATAACTGCCCTTCCTACTGCAGATACAAGCTGTTCTAGCTCAGAGTTGATCCATTATGGCACAGCTTCACCAAAGGGATGGAGTGTCAAGCATGCGAAATGCTTTGGGCTCTGCAATGAAACACTCCAGAAATGCAAAGCCATTGTGGTGCTAAGAGCTGATACAGCAGCCTGCAGACAGCCCCCAGAGAACGCAGACAGTACTTCTGTGCTCAGCACGACGCGGTCTCTGGTGGGAGAAAGCTGCTTTCTCAAGCCACGCCTGAAAGCTCCGGGAGTAGGAACAGCCAAAAACCACTTGGGCCAGCAATATGTGCTGCCCTGAAGAGAGAGCAGCCTTGCACTTGGGAACACTGCGCGTAAGCAAATCCCTCAAATGTGTACAGTCAGGGAAAAGCATCTCTCTGGAGCTCACCCCTTGGCTGGGGATTGCTGACACCTGCAGAACAGCTCCAGCTGTGCCCCACCTGCTCACATACCTTCTGCCAGCAGCCCCAGCGAGTCGGCGTTGCAACCATCAAACTTCAGCAAGTCCACACCCCAGGAGGCAAAGGTCTGTGCATCCAACTCGTAGTGCCCATAGCTGCCAGGGAAGCCGGCACACGTCCTGTTCCCCACATCACTGTAGATCCCCAGCTTCAAGCCTTTGGAATGGACCTGAACTCAGCGGGCAGAAGGAAAGGCGTTGAGTCACGCGGCCCCCGCACAGCCCCCCCAGCACTCCCCGCACTCACGTAGTCCGCCAGTGCGCGGATACCGCCGGGGAAGCGCCGGGGGTCGGCCCGCAGCCGGCCTCGCTCGTCCCGCGTTGGCGCCATCCAGCAGTCGTCGATGCAGACGAACTCGTAGCCCGCTTCCTTCCAGCCCTCCGCGACCATCACGTCGGCCATCTCGGTGAACAGCCGCTCGCTGGGGCCGAGGAGCAACGCGGAGGGGACACTGCAGCTCGGGCCGCAGCCCCGCAACGCAACGCCCCGCTCCCGGCACCGGGACCCCGGCTCCCCCCACCCCGTTCCATCCCACCCCGGTACCTGACGCAGCTGTCCGGCTCAGCAGCGCAGTCGGTGCCGCAGAGGAAGCGCTCCCAGTGCAGCCAGCCCATGGGCGGCGTCCGCGCCACGCCGTTATCCAACGCCACAACCGCCACCACGGCCATAGCGGCCACCAAGGCCCAGCGCAACGCCGCCGCCATGACACTCGCCGTCCGCAGCGTCACGTGAGGCGGGCGGGCGGTCACGTGGCGGGGCGGTCACGTGCCCCTGCGCACGTGGTTCCGTCGCGGAGCCGCGGCCCGCTCCTCCGCCGCCGCCATCGGGTGGCGCCGTGCCGTGTAGGCGCAGTCTGGACTCGCCGTCCCCGAGCGCTGCGTTCCGTCCGCAACGCTCGCAGCCCAGCAGGCACCCACAGAGCGCCCCGCGGCCGTGGGAGCAGCACGCGGCACCGTGCGCAGGGCGCAGGATCCCGTGTTTGGGGGATCGGGGCTCTCCGGGCCGCGCTGAGGCCTGGGCGGGGCCCGCTCCGAGCTGCGGGTGTATGGCGGGGGAACGGGGCCTGGCACAGCCGGGCTGTGCCCTCGCACGGATCGTGGTGTTGCGGTGAGGCCCGCATCCTGCTTGCGCCCAGACAGAGCTCCGTGCCCTGAGAGCCGATCGCCTGGCAGGGCGTGAGGTGACCTGCTTTGGCAGGGGGGTTGGACTCGATGATCTCTGGAGGTCCCTTCCAACCCCTACAATTCTGTGATTCTGTGACGATCTCTGCGAGCTCTGTTGTCACGCAGCCCCCGGAGCGGCCTCCTCGCTAGGTGTCCTCCGATCTCCGCTCTGGTGCGGCCAGGGAACAAAAGACCTTCAGAGACCGCGGTCAGATAATGGCACTTTGTTTGGGCGCGGGGTCCTCCCCCTGCCCTGGGGGGCTGCAGGGCACGGCTTCTCCGAGTGGGACAAAACACACCACAGAACTTCATGGCTTTGTTTTTTTTATGCCAAACCACAGCCCGGAGCTGGGCTGCTTTCCATATTCTCGGGGCTGCGGGGCACTACAGATTTGACCCTTGCTTGTTGCCAAACCCCAGCACTCCCTTGCTCATCCCTTCTGTTTGGGGACCATCCTTGCAGCACTGCTGGGCAGCTGTTGTGGTTCCCCAACTGCATCCCTGAGGGTTGAGGATCAATAAATTCTTTCCTATGAGAGTGGTGAGGTGCTGGAACAGCTGCCCAGAGAGGTTGTGGATGCCCCGTCCCTGGTGGAGTTAAAGGCCAGGATGGATGGGGCTCTGGGCAGCCTGGTCTACTACCAGATCTGGAGGTTGGTGGCCCTGCCTGTGGCAGGGGGGTTGGAGATTCATGGTCCTTGAGGTCCCTTCCAACCCAGCCCATTCTGTGATTCTGTGAATAAAAGCACAGAGCAGGGCCTTTACTCCCCAGCACCCATGGGTGTGCAGCAACAGGAAGCAAGTTGCATGCATCTGCAGCTGCTGGGCTGTAAGTGCTGCGCTGGCAGGCGCTCAGGGAGCTGCCAGTGCTGATTATTCTGATTTTACTTTCCAGGAGTCACATTACCCCCAACGTAACTCCATTAGCTTCCATTTACACCGGCAATTAACTCCGCCGCCGCTGCTGGTCCTGTGCCCACTGCTGCTTCCCATAGCGGCTGGGACATGTCCTGAATGTGCAGCGTCACACAGGAGAAGGAAAATTGGCTCCATCTGAAGTCCGTGGGCTTTGCCAGGGGATGGCTGCTACCCATGCTGCACCCCCAGCCTGCGTGAGCCCTGGAACTCGCCAGAATCACGGGCTGGAGGGGCTCCCAGCTCCAGTGTGGCTGCTGGGAGTACAGGTAGGGGCTGGGTGCTGCTGCTGTTGGCCCCCAAATGTCCCCAGGGGGCACAAACCACCAGATCTGTGCTTGTAGGGCTGTGGGGCAGCAGTGCTCCCCCTATGTGTCTCCCACCACGGTGCCTGAGTGAGGACTCCCTCTACTTGGCTGCAGCCAGAGCAGCCATTACTGCAGCTTACCTTATGATATGTTGGTTTTTCACAATTCGCTTTTTAAGATTCTTTCTTTTTCCTTTCTTTTTGGGAAGTGCCTGTTCCTACAATCAGGGTACTCTGGGGCTGACCCCAGCTGTTCTCCCCTTTGAAGCCCCCAGGTACCCAGACCTGCTGGTGAGTAAAGGAGAGCAGCAAGGGCAGGAACACAGGAGCGCCGCAGGGTTTTGTTTCTCCCATCAAAAGAACAAACCAAGCACTGAGCTGCAGGTCGCCACTTTGCTTTCTCCCCTCTCTACCACAAAAACCTCGCTGGGGCTCAACAGGGTGATGGGGCTGTGAGGTACAGGGCACCCAACAGAGCTGATCTGTGAAACTTGGCTGGGAGCACAGAGGGAGATTGATGTTTGCTTACGAGCTTGGCCGTCAGCTGTGAGCTCTGCCTGCCCCCACGCCAGCTGGGGATGGGAGCGCTGGCCCAGGGTGGCACCGCAGGGCTGGCGTAAGCCCCCAGGACAGCTGGCAGCTCTCTGAGGTTGGCGCCTGCCCAGCAAGCTGGCTGCAAAGGGAAGGATGGGACATTCAGCGTGTGTAGGTATCCAAGCTCCACTATGGGGCTGGAGCCCCCCCCAGCTCCACGTCTGCCCTTCCTTGGGTCCTGTCCCCAAGGCAAAACCCTGTCAGATAAATGGAGATAACAAGGTCGGGGCATTATCTTGGGGCTCCCACTACCACAAGGCTGGTGCATCCACATCCTTCCTGCAGCTGGGAGCTGCTCCAAGACACGGGGTTCTGGGCAGAGAGAAACCCCCAACACACTGCTGAAAATCCCAGACAGACTTTATTTGTGTAGGAAGATCAATGCTGTTTAAAATCCCACTTTTGCTGGAGGTTTGGTTGGCCGCCGTGTGCCTGTGGGTGCCAGCACCTCTCTGTTTGGGTCTGTGGGTGGGCAGTGGAGACCTGTGCCTCCAAATGGGCTTCCCCCAAAAAAACAAATCTCTGGAGGCTGTTCCTGGGACAGTACAGAGGCAGTGGCAATGGGATGGAACCATCTTCACCCATCCTGGTGGACCCCCGGTGTCTCCTGGGGATGCTTTTCCTCTGCTTGCCCCATCTGTGAAGCGCGTGTGGCTCAGCAGGGGCTGAGAAAGTGGATGCTGGGGGTTCCTGGTTACTGGAGAGAGGGAGAGGGCAATTCCTGCTTGAGGAGCAGGGAGGGAGGCTGGGGCTGAGGGTGAGATATCTGCCCGGACTGCACTGCCCTTTGTTTGTGTCCCCTGCCATGGTGCCTGGCACCTTGCTGTGCCATGGTGTTCCCAAGGCTGCTGAGGAAAGGGACAAATCCCATCTCCATCCTGCCCACAGAACTTGTGGGGCTGCAGCAAAGTACCCCATCAAAGATATATGCCCCACCTGGGCTTGCTGTGAGTGGGGGAAAGGAGAGCATCAACACGTTTCTCTCTGTAGGACCTACGTCAGCATCACCTACTGCCTTTATTTCCTGCTAAGCATGGAGGATATCCAGGTCTGGAGGTCTGGAAGCCGCCTGAGTTTTTAAATTGAGGATTCAGATGCTCTCCTCTCTGGTGGAAGAGCAGATGGTGTGAGCCCACCCAGGGACTCTACACCTGGGGCTGAGGGAGAAGCCAGGGAATGGGGTCAGCAAGGCTGGGGCTGCCCACCATCTCCCACCACAGAGCTGTGGGCTGTGCAGGGAGAGAGGAGCACAGCCCCTTGCCCAGCTCACTGCTGTCTGTGGCTCGGTGACACAGCAATCTGAACACCAGCTCACAGCCTCCAGGCACGTGGCAGCATCCAGCCAAGAGGTCCTTGGGCCTTTTTGGGGCCTCAGGGCACCGGATGGATGTCCTCTGAGCGCAGCACTTTGTAGACAACCCAATAGAAGATATTGAAGACCAGGAAGGTGAAGGGGAAGACGGCTCGGGAGATGGTGTCGATGCGCTTGGCACGGTCGACGTAACGCTTACGCAGGGTCTCCCCTTCCCGTAGCAGTGCACTGGGTGGGGGGGGGCTGTAGATTCCAGGACCCTCCCCAGCCCCATCTTTTGCCTGCAGGCAGTGGCCCAGCCCATAGCCTCGGAAGTAGAAGCGGCTCTCACGGATGAGCTCTTCCTCCTAGAGAGGGAAAGTGCTGTCAGTCGGGCACCCTGCAGGGCACGGGGCTGTGCTGCACGCTCTGTGTATGTGCCAGCCGTGGCTGTCTGCTTGGGTAGGTGCCAGTGCAAGGTTTGGTGCTTTTCCTGCACATCTGAGGCATGCAGGCAGAAGTCCAGAGGAGCACAGTCTGAGGTACGAGGGTGTCTGGTGAGCACCTGCCTGCCAACACCTTGTGCTCTAAACTGCCCCCAATGAATGTGTGGGCAGCCCCAGAACCCTCAGCATCCACTTGGGTGCCTGGTGTGGACTGGGGGCAAGTGGACCCATGGGGGTGAGGGTGCATGGGAGGATGCAGATTGGGTAGGGGTGCATAGCATACAGAGGTGCATAGCACACAAGAGTGCAGAGCACATAGGGGTACATATGGGGTACAGGGCACTGCAAGGCGCTGCAAGCATTGGGGTGCAGGCACTGTTGCAGCAGCTGCTTGCTGAAGGGTGGGGATGTGTTGGTGAACAGACAGCTTGCTGGGGCAGAACCGTGCAGGGACGCAGGAGCCTCACTGCCATCAGGGACCCTCAATCCCCTCAAGAGCCAAGGCTGCTTGCTAGGTGACAAAGGACAGGGGCAAGCAATGGAGCCCCTGTCCTTACCCTCCTTGCTGCCTCCCCACAGGCCAGCATTGCCTGCGCTCCTCCCCACCAACAGCTGTGCTTCATTAGTGAGCTGTTTCATTAAGGAGTCACGTTGGCCCGACTCATTTACACTCTATGTGTGTCCATGGGCGTCCCCACTTGGAGCTGAGGACATCCCCCTCATTCCATGCTCACAAGCAGTGTGGGTTTCAGGTCCCCATGCCCTCTCCAAGGAGCGCTCCCCACCGAGGTGCATGGGCAAAGAGCTGCATCCTGCCCTGCATGGGCACCCAGCAGCCAGGGGCTCTCATGCAGAGAGCTGGGGATCTTTATTTAACTCAGCACTCTGCCGGCTAAGCAAGATTTCCCAGCGGGGAGAGCAGCAGAGGCTGAAATTGCTGAAATGTGCTCTCGTGTGCCGCTGAGCTGCGCTCCCCTGCTGCAGAGTGCTCACTGAGGGCACAGCAAGATGGGGGCTCAGAGAGGGCTGCAGCCCCAGAAATGCACAGTTGGGATGTCCTTGTCCCCCAGTATCTCCGCCCAAACTGGGCAGCCTGCCCTGTGCCACCTCTCCCTGCCGTGTCTCCTCCCCACATCTCCAGCTGCCAAGTGCCCACGCATGCTGAGCCACTGCAGGGAGAGGAGATCACTGAGCTGGGTGATCAGGGTAGGCAGAGCCCCTGTCCTGCTCCAGGTGCTGGCACAGAGCTGAGGAGCTCATCGCCACAGCATGGTTCACTCCACTGCAAAGGGGGCACCGTTTGGCCCCATTCTACATCAGGGGAAACCGAGGCACGGAGCAGGGTGTCTCCAAGGAGCCGGTGAAATCTACCTCTGGTCCCCATGGCCACGTGCCCCGTGCACATCCCTGCCCTGCTCCTTCCTGCACCTTCACTTGTGGGAAGGGCTCCTGGGGGCTCCTTCTGGGGAAAAGAGGGGTGCAGGGGTGCACTGCCGGAGGGGTGTGCTTTACCCTGGAGCTGGAGAGCTGCGAGAGCATCGCGTAGGTGTGCTCGCCGCTGTGCAGGCTGCTCGACTGCCCCAGGGACTCCAGGCTGGCCGTCCCGCTGCTCAGGCCCTTTTGGCACCAAACAGAAACAGGACAGTGTGTGACCAACGGCTCTGCCCCTGCTGTGGGCAGAGAGCAGCCGTGGGGGGAGAGCAGCCCCTCCGGCAGCACAGCCTCTGAGCCAGGGGGCACTGGGAGCCTGGGGGGCACATCCACGGGGCTTTTACATGGAGGTCTGCATCTAACAGTGTCACCATATGGCAGAGCAGGCACCAGCTGCTTTCCCTGAGCATCACATGGGAAAGGAAAAGAAACGCTTGTTTCTTTTCCTGCCTTTTTAGAGCGGAGCATCTCCCAGGGCAGGAGGAGGATGGCACCCATTTGGGGCCGTGCACCACATCCACTCCCTGTCCAAGGGCACGGTGCCTCCCTGCAGCCAGTGCTGGGCTGTCTCCCCACATTGGGACGGGCAATGTCAGCTTGCTCCAGGGGACAGGAGTTGGACTCAGGGATCCTTATGGGTCCCATCCAATTCGGGCTATTCTATGGTTCCGTGATTCTATGACAGCACGGCTCAGCTCTGGGCATCCCGCAGGGCAGGGAGATGCTCTGGGCTCCCTGTGCTGCCCAGCAGGCAGAAGAACTGCAATGCCCACAGCTCCCCAAGGTGCCATAGGAGACAGCCCTGCAGCCCCGGGGATGGCAGCGCCGGGGGTCCCCATAGCATCTGAGAGACACGTGGTGACAGCAGCGGCCGCAGGCACTCACCATCTTCTGCCTCCGCTGCCGCCGCCGCAGGCGCATGAACTCCTTGTGCTGCCGAGAGACGAAGTTGACAGCGGCGTATTCCAGCAGAGCAGCAAAGACAAAGAGCAGACAGACAGCCATCCAGATGTCAATGGCCTTCACGTAGGAGACCTGAGAGGGGAGAGGGGTCAGAGCTGTGGGGCTGCGTCCCTCCCCACAGTCACAGCTCTTATAAGGTTCTTCTCCCCAGAACTTCACAGCTCAAAGCTCCAGGAAGCCAAGTTCCCCCTTGTGCCAGATGGCTTTGAGTCATGGTTCCACTGGAAAAACCAGGATAAGACCCTGTAATTGTGCCATCTCTGTTGTTGGTCCATGGATATTGGGAAATACTGGATGTTAGGAAACATGTATACTCCGAAAGAATGGTGATCTAGGTTGCCCGAGGAGGTGGTGGGGTCACCATCCCTGGAGGCATTCATAACTGCGGAGATGCAGCACTAAGGGACATGGTCAGTGGGCATGGTGGGGGTGGGTAGGGGATCCTAAGGGTCTTTTCCAGCCTCCTGGGGCCAGCATTGTGCCCACAGCACTGACCTTGGGCAGAGAAGCACGGGAGCCGGCGCTCTGAGTAGTCATGGTGAGCACAGTGGTGATGCCCAAGCCCACCCGAGCTGGTGCTGCATCCATGTTGATCCAGAAGGAGACCCAGGAGAGGATGACGATGAGCAGGCTGGGGATGTACATCTGGATCAGGTAGTAGCCCATCTGCCTCTCCAAGTGGAACTTCACTTCAATGCAGGTGAACTTGCCTGCAAGAAAATCCAACCTTGCATGGGTGAGGGGGTCCGTGCCATGCTGGGGGGCATTCAGGGGTTTCTGGGGGGTCTCACCTGTGTTGTAGTACTTGGTGCAGTAGCCCAGGTCCTTCTCATCCCTGAGGATGAACTGCGGCAGTGTCAAGCCCTCTGCCACCTGCACGGCTTCCTGCTCCTCCAGCCACTCAAAGATGAGGTCGTTCATGGTGTAGCCAACTGGAGAGGTGACGGAGAGAGCCACAAGTCGGGGGGGATATGAACCCATTCACCCCCATCCCAAACAACCTCCCCTTTCCTGCTCAGCTCCCGCAGAAACACGGAGATGCTAGTTTTTAGGATGAGATGGCATGTGATGGGATGCCGTGGGATGAAGCAAGGCTTGAACATCCCCAGGCACTCACAACTCTCCAGCTGCATCGTGCACGTCTGGATGTCCATGGGGAAGTTCTTGAGATCCATGGGGCAGGACAGGATCAGCGTCAGCCTGCAGGAGGCGGACAAAAGAGAGAATCACTGAATGATGCCCAATGGGGTCAAGAGACAAGCCCTGTGCCACAGGAGAAGGGCTCAGCACCTGATGCTGTAGAGCACGTTGCCATTCTTGAAGATGCGCAGCAGTTTGTTGTCGGTGGTGACCTCGTGGAAGTTAGCCCCTTTCTCATTGGCAAAGAACAAATCTGGCTTCCAGATGGAGTCGAGCATGGAGGGGTCGAGGTCGAGCGAGTCGTCGGGGTACTCACGGTAAGCCAGCCGGGGGTCGTTCCACTGCTGCCGCAGGAAGACGTTCACACGGTAATCCTGGGGCAGAGGGCGCTGCGTCACTGGGAGCCCCACAGGGCCGGGGGAGGAGGAGCAGGAGGAGGTTGGTGGTCTGAAGGCTTTGCAGCAGCACAAACAGGGGCTTTGTAGGGCTTTCCCAGTGCAGATCCTCGTGCATTTGAGGATGTTGGGGGTAGGAGCTTGTCACAATGCTCCGGCTCCACTGGCACTGGGACACACACAGACACACACACACACACACCCCAGGCAGCATCCCCTGCAGAGGAGCCTACTGCCAAACCCTCACCATGGTCGTCTCGGTGACAGAGCCGAAGCTGTTGATGAAGATGTTGCACGTCACGTTGACGGGCGGACCTGGAAAACAAGTGCAGCTCTCACTGCTGACCAGCACCATGTTGGTGTGGGCACAGACCCTGCACCCTGTGTGTGCTGACCCTGCAGCCCTGTGCCCACCACGGTCACCCCATGGTGCACATAGGAGAACCCCCCTCACCCAAACAGCCATGGGAAAGCAGGCACAGACAGTGTGGGTACGACTGGGGAGAGAGAAATGTGAGTCAGGGTCCTTTCCCTACATCCATCCCCTGGGTTTGGGCAGCCCTAAGCGTGGGGCACTGCCAGCCCCAGAAGCTTCACATCCTCCCCTTACCTTTGAAGTTGGGTCGGATCCGGGCATCGTACCCTGATGTTCGTCCCATGAGCTTGTCCAGGAAATCAGAAGGTGACATGGGCTGGGGTGCACTGCGGGAGTGGGATTTGATCTCCTCCCTCCCTGAGACCAGCCTGTGGGCAGAGGGGGGGGGGCTCAGCTGTCTACCAGCACCATAAAGCTCCAGGCACAGCCCTGCAGCCCAGGGAAGGACATGCAGCCTCATACCCATGGCTGGGAAGTGCTTGGGGCCAGGTGTCCCACGGTGAGGACAGAACACAGTGGTGATGGCCCTAAGCTGTGGACACTGGGCTGTCCCTTTGGGTAAATCACCAGCCCCTGCCTGGCATGGACCTGTGGGGGCTGTGTGGATACAGCACCTCCCAAGCAGTGGCTGCCCCCAGGCAGTGAGGAGGTGACCAGGAGCACAGAGGGGATGGTGGCACTGTGGGGTGACGTGGCCAGAGAGGATCAGCCCAGCCATGGTGAGGAGCTGACATGAGCTCTCCCACGCAGCACTCCCAGTGATGATGGAGTCTTATTTAAACTGACCTTGGAGGGGATATTTTCGTGAATGCATCTCCGCCTGCCAGTTCCTCTCCTTCTGTCAGTTTATAATGATCATTTCAAGGAACAATGCGAGAGACATTCGCTCACCACATTGCCAGGCATGTGGCTGTGATGGAGAGGAACGAGCTGGAGATCTCTGGACACAAAGGGAGCTTTGAGCATGCTGCTGGTGTGTCCTGCTCCCGTTTGGGGCTGCAGACCCCATTGCCACAAGCAAGGGAGGGTGCTGGGGATGGAGCTGGGGCTCTCCTGGGGCTGTGGGCAGGCTGAACCCACACTGTGCTCCTACCTCTGCTCAGAGGAGTGGGAGTCATCCCTGGAAGAATCTCAGCTCCTCTGAGAGCTCAGCTTCTCATAGCTGGGGGCAAAGGCTCTGCTGCAAGCTGAGCTGCATGTCTCTGGGCACAGCTTATGGGGCAAAGCCTCCTCTGAGGGCTCTGCTGCTCAGCACAGCATCCCATGCATTCAGGGAATGGTGGGGCTGGAAAACATTCCCATCTGCCTGAGAATGCCATCCCGATGGAAGCGGTTTCCGCTGCTGAAATGGTGACATTTGGATGCAATTTTCCCCCTCCTCACCACAAACGCTGCATCCCTCCCACACTGCCCCAGATACATCAGGACAGGGAACCCCAGGGGCACTGCAGCCCCCCCCACATGTCCCCTGCATCACACCTTGTCCCATTGGCATCTGGGGATGGTAGAGAGAGAGAGAGAGAGATGAAGGGACTCGGGGGCTTCAGGTCTTCCACCTAAAATGCTCCATGGGACCTGGGGCTGCCCTGAGCCCCTCTCTCTCCTCCACCAAATAAATAAATAAATAAATAATCCCTGATCTGGGAGAAGGTCTGAGCACCTCAGGGGCGTTGCTGTGATGGAAAAAGAGCTGCGTGGGCCATCGCCTGGTGGTCCCTAAGCCCACCTCGGTGACGGCTGTACCCCGGGTTGGGGGTTACAGGGGGGCGGGCGACACTGTGCAGGCAAAGTCCCTGGGGTGCGGGGTCCTGGAGAAGGTCCCAGTGCCGGGGATGGGGGTAAGGATGAATATGGGGGGGAGGGGGGGGGTTCCACAAGAAGGGTCCGGGTTGCTCGGGGACGTCTGGATCGCAGTGGGGGTCCGGTCGCGGGACTGGCAGGGAACGTTTTAGTCCCGTTTGGGAGAACCCAAGTCCCGGCGGGGAAACCCGGCTCCCAGAAGGGGGGGTTGAGGGGGTCCCGGAGGAGGGAGAGCACCGCGCTTTGCGCTCACCTGAGCGGGCCACGCCGGGACGGAAGGCAGCCGAGGAGGAGGAGGAGGAAGGCTCGGGCGCCGGTCCGGAGCGCGCCCATCCCGCCGCAGCCAGCAGCTCCGCCGCCCCGGGCGCACGGGCATGACCCGGCCGGTGGCGGCGGTTCCCCCGCACCCGCTCCCGCCGCACCGGGACCGCCGCCGCCCCCCGGCCGGCCCCTCTCCTCATAGTCCGGGCGAGCGGGAGCCCGCCGACAGGCTGCGGGCACCGGGAACCGGGCGGAGCTTCAGGCCGGTGCGGCGGGGAGGAGGCGGGCACGGTGCGGGGAGACGCCCGCCTCCGGCACCCCCCGACCCGGGGGGCTCCGCCGTGCGCGGTGCCGGGCGGCCGTCGGGGCGCTTTCCCCGAGGTCGCGTCCTCCGCTGGGACTCTGCGTGGCGGGGTGCGGGGATTTATGGGGTTGCACAGGGAAAGGGAAAAGAGAGGCGGGGAGATGCAGACGGGTCTTGGGATGTGTTCGGTTTCGCGGCCAGGGCTGATGGATGCGTTGAGATCGAAAGGTTTATGGGGTGCTCCGGGTGCCAGCAGGTGGAGGTGCGCTGGACGGTCTGCCCACAGCTGCACAGGGTGTGGGCTCCTTCCTTCTGCCTAGCTATAGGGTCTGGGGCAGCTCTGCAGGTGTATGGACCCCGGGGGGGAGCACAACGCGGCTGTGAGCTTGCTTTTCTCAGCTGCTCATCACATGCGAACTCCTGAAATTGCCCTCATTAGGGGCAGGTGAGCTCCTTAGCACAGCCTTCTGCCCCCCATTAGGGGAGAAACAAATGGGGGCAGCCAGGTGCCACGAGGATGGGCAAACTGAGGCAGAGGGAGTGCAGCTGTGGGCTGACATCAACCCCTGGGGTGGCTGAGCAGCACGCACTGCCTCTGGGGGCCTTCTGTGATTAACGTGTGAGGAAGGAGACAGGATTAATAAAGAGAAAAGTGCAGAATAAGTGATTCCTGGTGGATGCATCGCTCAGGTTTTCGTTCACCTTACCACACCTGGCTCGTGTCGTTTATTTGTATTAATCACATTTTAGTCATGGCTGGGAGCAGCCATCGCTGCAGGGACCCCACACTGTGCTGTACAGCAAGAGGAGGGCTGTGTGCCCCCCTCTCTTGTCCCCCTCACCCCACAGAGGGACTGTGCATTTCAGCAGTGCTCTGCTGGACCCCGCGCTGCCTTCTCCTGCCCACCCTGCTGGCTCTGATGGAGCAGGGAAACGTGACAACCGGCAGAGCGGTGCCCAGGAGGGTCCTCCAGTGCAGCCATGGGCCGGGGGGGAGAGGGGGGGCACGGCGCTGCGGGGCGGTGTGCAGGAGGAGCAGCACTGCTGGCACGGAGCTGGCAGAAGTCTCCTCCGATTACTGTTGCCATTAACGTTGATGGGGCCGTGAGGTTGTGATTGGGATCTGGAGCCCGGGGCACACGGCGAGCGCAGAGCAGCAGCTCCATCCCAGCGGTGAGCTGAGCTGACACCGGCTGGAGGAGGGGGGCAGCTCCGTGCTCAGCCCGCGGGGAAAGTGGGGCATCGAGGGAGGTTTTCCTGTGAGCAGAAGAGCTGCTGGGTGCAGCCACCCCCGGGGGCACACATCCATCCTCAGCATCCCCAGCGTGCCACGTCCCTGTCCTGTTCCCATCACAGAGACAGTGCCAGGCCCTGCCAACAGCAGCAGAGGTTGGGGCTGCTCAGCCAACGTGATTTCTTCTCCATTCCCTTCTCCATCTCCAAGCCCACATCAAACCATTCCCCTGAGGAACTCCTGCCTGGGTCCAGAGACCTGGGGAGGGCTGTGCCAACCCACCCACCAGTCCTGAGCCCTCTCTGCTGCTCAGCCCCCACAGTGCCAGGCTGTGGATCGAATCCTGCCTGATCCATGCTGACATGCTTTCCCAGCCAGCAGAACTCCAAGGGGCTAAGGCCTCAAAAACGTCTTTTTATCCCTTTTTTTCTTTCCCTGCAGAAAGGCTGATGGGCTCTTTGGATCCATTTCGGGGTGAATAATTGCTGGAGGATCAGTTTGGTGGCACGGAGGGGACATGAAGGAAGGGAAGCAGGCAGCTCCCTGAGCCTCTGGTGCAGCATCACTGCTGGTTTGGTGCTGCAGGAGCGCATGGAGCCTGGGGATGTGCAGCCCAATCCCTGCTGCCAGCACTGGGCTTCTCCCTTCTGCTGTTGGGGTGGCAATGTCTTGCAGAGGGACAGATGCCCCCAGCCTGGACACAGGCATTGCTCTCACTGTGCAAACATTTGGAGGCAGCTAATGGGGCGTGAGATTAATGTCACAGAAAATACGCTCCCGAGCGTGGCTGAGCATGGCCCCATCCCTGTGTGTCCCTGTGTGTCCCCATGGGGCTGCGACTGCATCCCTCAGAGCTTCTCCTCCAGAGCTGCTGAGTGTGGGGCCGCAGAGCTGCTCAGAAGTACTTGAATTTGGCCATTTCCACTCATTTTCTAGGAGAAAATGGTAACGCAACACGAGCTCTGCCTTTGGGAATTTTGTTTTCCAAGCTGAACGCGCTTGAACCAACTCTAACTTTGAAACAGCCAGAAAGGACATTTTCAGTGGGACGCACTTCTGGAGCCAAATCCTTTCATCTTTATGGGGAATGCGATGCACTCCAGGTCCCCTCAGCTGCGGGGTGCACGGTGGGCTCAGGAAGAAAGGCTCAGCAGCACCGTTAGGACATAGCACCGGGCAGGGCGGCCCCGGAGGAGACTGCAAGGTGAAGCGGGCCGGCGGTCCGAACTCCAACCAATGTCACTCTCCAGTTCCGTGGCGCTTTTCCAAGCTAAAAATACCCCATGTGCCGGCACGGCGCGGGGCGTGCGCTGCATGCGGTGCTGCAGAGGGACCCGCCAAGGGCACGGGGCTGTGTGTCCCACCACCGAGCTGCATGGCACCGGGGGAAACACAGCTGGGGTCGTCTTCTGCCTCCCATCTCCCAGCCCTCAGATTGCAGGGCTGCAGCTCCATCCACCTCCACTGTGCTCCTTCACCCTGTGCCACGCTGCGCAGTGCTGGGGTCTGCATCCGCAATGGGATTTTCCAGGTTGTGCCATAGGGGTTTGGTCCCCAGTGCCAATGTGCAAGGAGGGAACAGCAGGCGGAGGGATGACCCCGTAACCTTGGCAAAGCAGGCACGCTGAAAGGGGAGATTTAATTTAGATAAGTGTCCAACAACACTCTCAGGGCCAGGAGCAAAGGCTGGCACTGGTGCCAAAGCCCTCAGCGGGGTGACCCACCAGGGTGACCTCATGTTCCTGTTTCTTCTCCTTGCCTGCAGGTCACCCCTTTGCTGCCTTGTCCCCAGAACTGCCCAGCACCAGGGCTGGGTCCCTCCTGCTGGTGGGGAAGATGCTGAGGGGAGGATGCTCAGAGCGGGTCAGGCTGTTCGCACCAGGAACATTCCCATCTCTGCTCCCAGCAGTGGTGCTGCCTGCTGAGGCCCCGCTGCTCCCATCACCCACAGCATTTCCAGATGCTCTGGGGAAGATTTGCTGGATTTTGACACCATGAAGCTCCAGCCCCCACCTCCCCCTTCCCTGCAGTCTGTGAAAGAGTCGCTGTGCAGCGCAGAGGGTGTTGTACCCACACAGGCATCACAGGAGATGGGGATGGGGTCCCCATGGTCCCCTCCCTGCTTTGGGGTTCCCATCCCCCTGCATCCCATGCACGGTTGCCATGCCGACAAGCATCCCATGCTGCTGGATGCCGTTGGAGCTCCATCGGCTTTTCTCGCCTCCACATCTCCGTGCCCTCAGCCCCAGCGGTCTCCGAGGACGGAGCAGAAGGAGCTCAGCAGGAGCGGTGTTAACTGCAGGCTGCCCGGTTCGCCCTAATTGTGAAGGAGTTTTGTGATTTGCTCAAGACCCCCCCGGAGGGCTGAGCTTGGAAAACGAAGCGTTACACATCTGTGGCATCAGGCGGTGAGTGAAGGAATGAGAAATCAGCCTCCCTCCCCCCTAGCCCCCCGCCCCCCCCCCCCCCCCCCCCCCCCCCCCCCCCCCCCCCCCGCCTGGCACGGCCGCTGCCGGGGAGATGAAGGATTTGTTTAATTAGACAGCAAATCCTCCTGCTGCAGCACAGATGCAAACAGCAGTGGCTGCATCCCAGGGGTTCTCGGCCGTGGGGCTGCCATGATGGCATCGTTGTCCAGCAGAGCCAACGGTGTCACGGCATGGGCTGAGGGGGTGGGGTGGTGTCTGCAGGGGATGGGGCTTCCCTGCCATAAGGGCTTCCCTGCCCTATGCTCTGCTATGGGGTCAGCGTGGCTGTTCTGGTGTTCCTACTGCACATCCTCTTTTGTGTCCCCACGTCCCGTCCCTGTGCTGGCCTTGGCCATGGTCTCTGCACAGCTGCTGGCACAGAGGGGTTGCACCACGGCATCACCTCAGCACATTAATAAGTGGAGCAGCAAACACATCCCTGTCCCAGAGCCACCCCAGCAAGGAGACCGCGTGGCATCAGGCTGCTGTAGCCACGTGGAGGGCTGGGGGGGGGTGAGGGAGGGGGTGGGACTGCTGCTCTCTACCTGAAAACCAAAGGGATTGGTATGGAGGATGAGTGGGGAATGCAGAACCAGCATAGGACCAGGGGGAGAAGTGTGGGGCAGGGACAGCCAGGGGGCACATGGAGCCAAGCGGCTTCGCTCTGTTCAGGCACCGTTTGTCTTTGCATCCCTGGGTTTTCTGCAAGGTAAATGAGCAGAGCTGCAAGAGATGACCCCACGGAGAGCAGACCAGAGGAATGAGCTGCCAGGGGAGAGATGCAGCCACTGCCCTCCTCAGCAAAGGAGAAAGTCAGGAGATGTGAAAGGCAAAGCTGCTGGGAAGAAGCATCACCGCTCCACTGAGCCTCCATGGGGCTGGGGAGCACCGCCTGCCCTTCAGCTCTCCTCCCCGTCCCCTAAAGGCCTCCAACAGCTTTGCCTTTTTTTTTCCTAATTTTATCTTTATTAGCGCATTTCGCAGCCTCCCACCCTCCCCTATGGGAAAGGGGGTTCACCCCACCGATGGGTGAGGATGGATGGGGGAAATCAGAAGGAGAGCATCAGCCTGGCCCGGGGAAGTGGCTGTTTAAAAATAGCTGCAAGGTTCTCTGGTGTGACAATAGGCACCTCCCGACGCATATATATAATGGATAAAGGCACTGCACGAGCTGTCACTGCTCCTCCTGGGGACACCAGCAGTGTGACCACAGCCCCGGCACGCGGCAGCACCCAGGGCTGATCACAGAGGTGTCCTCATGGGGAAGGAGCCAGCGGGGACACACAGCCAAGAGGAGATGTTCTGTGCCTGCAGCACGAGGGGGTCCCAAAGGCTTCAGCCAAAATGCAAAAGGAAGGGATGAAATCAAGCCGTCATCTATGGGAGGTGTTTTGGTTTTTTTGCTGTGCGTGCAGCTCTGGAGCAGCCCTGCAGCACGGGCAGCCCCAGGGGTGGGAGCACACGGGAGGGAGATGTTAACGAGCAGTAACCAATTACTCAGATTTTTGAAGGCATTTGGTGCAGAAATCGCAGCCCCGCTTCGTTGCTCACATTATCCCGGACGGCAGAAAGCTGATGCTTCCCCCTGGGGTGTTGAAATAAAATGCAAGATCTTGAATTTCTGCAGAAAGAGAAAGAAGGGCTCATCATTTTTTCCCCTAACATCATTTTTCCCTCTGGTGCCTGGCTCCATCCAGGCAATGCGGTCCCTTATCAGTGAGCATCAGCAGCCCTGCAGATCTGGTTTCTGCAGAGCACTGGGGGCACTGTGTGGTGCCCTGGGGACCCCCAGCCCAGCAGTGTTCCCAGCCCTGGGGACAGCCAGGCCCTGCCACAGCACAGCCTGGCACAAAGCGGAGCATTGAGGGACACAGCGGGGCTTTGTCTGCCCGCTGAGAAGGGCCCTGTTGCCCTCTGCAGGCATCCCCAGCCCTGTGCTGACCCCCCATGGGGGGGACCTATGGGAGATGGGCACCCCAAGGAGCTGACCCCCTGTAGTCCCCATCTCTAGATGCGTCCCCGTCCTTTGAGGATCCCATGGAGGACTCCCCCTGCAGACTGTGCCCATTGGAGCTCTGTCTCCTGTCCCGTGTAGAGCCCAAAAGGATGGGGACGGTGAGAGAAGAACTGCCGTGAAAACAGAGAGAGCAGAATTTCCATCAGAACACCAACTCTGGAGAACCCGAGGCTGAACACAGATGTCTGACACTTAGGGGACAAGGAGGTGACGGAGGGGCATCACTGCATCCCACTGATCCCACATTGCCACAACACAACACCTACAGGCACACACACCCCAGCCAGGCCTGGGGGTCCCCAGCCAACTGCAGAGTGGGCGCCCTGTGACCCCCAGCCCCTTTAGCCCTTTGACAAAAGTGTTCCCCCACCCCAAGCCCTGAAGTTCTTTGCTTTGCCCACACGCAAAGCAGCTGGCAGCCAAGGGGTGCATCTGGGTGGGGGGGGGGGGGGAAGCTGGGGCGGGGAGGGACGGGGGCTTGTCCCTTTAAGGGGGGTGGCTGTCACTCAGAGAGCCCTTTTCTTTGCTGGCGAGTGGGACAGGCACCCAGAGGGGACAATACAGGGCGAGGGACTGCCAGGGGAGGCGAGGGCTGCAGACAGAGCCAAGCGCACGGGGAGCTGAGCGAGTCGGGTGCCATGGGTGAGTATGGGGACATGGGACGGCTGTCACAGCTGTGGGGGGACGGTCCTGGAGCAGAGAGCCCAAAACTTTTCCCTGGTGCTGGCAGGCTATGTAGGTGAAGTTTCCATGGGTGGCAAGGAAGGAAGCAGGGATGGCATTTTCCTTTCCCACGCGATTTTCTGTCCCCCTTCCGCCTCTTGGGATGGACCTCATCTGTCCAGGAGGGTGGAGGGGAACAAGCTCAACCCAGGGCTGCAGGGAGAGTGGGGCGCTGAGACCTGTTGCAGCTTGTGCCACTTGTGTGCCTGCAGCTTCGTGCCTCAGTTTCCCCATCAATACAATGACGGCGTCCTGCTGGGTGCTCTGATGGGGGGCTCATGGTTGCCACCCTCCTCCTGCCTGCAGCGCTTTGTGCAACAAGGCCCAGGATGGTGCTGCACAAGGGCTGTTTTTTCCCTGCCCCCTTCCCCTCCTGCGCTTTCCCATCTTTTTCCCAAAGCTGGAGGGCACACCAGGCCCTGCTGCATCCCAGTCCTCCCGCTACCCCTGGGATCGGGACCATCCACCAGCTGTGGGCACCTGCCCCCATGTTCCCAGCTGAGAGAAAAGAAATATTAAAAACCTCAAGTCTGGTTGGTGCCAGCATCGTGCTGCAACGTGTGCAGCCATCCATCCCTGTGGGTCCTGCAGGGATCAGGGCTCACTGCTGGGAGGGGGAGGCATAGAGACCCCTCCCCGGCCCCGTTGTGTCCAAGGCAAACAGGCGGGGGGGTCCCTGCGCTCCCCCACAGCGCTGCCTTTGTTCCCTGTTTGCTCTTTGGACAATCCCCCATTGTCCTCGGTGCCACCGCGCGCCCTTGCTCTGCATGGGGAGGGGGGAACGTTGCTGGCTGGGACCCCAAGGCTGCCTTGTGCTTACAGGGAGGAGATAGGCGCTGCGGGGTCCGTGGGGAGAGCGTGGGTTTGGGACTGCTTCCAGCACTCTGAGCGCTTTAGGAACTCAATGCACAATAGCCAGGGAGGGGGCAGAGCTGTGCCCGCTCTCTGCACTCCAACCTCAGCCCAGGTTCCATAAGCACAGCACGATGGCAGCCCAAATAGAAAAACCCCCAGCACTGCGGCAGCGGGGAGCCCATTAGCAGCTTGTTGGTTTGCTCCCACTGGCATCACGCTGCATCGCCCCGCATCTCCATCTCGCCCGGCTGCCAGCTTCCCACCGCTCCACATTGCTGCTCTTTTAGCACCACGACAAATTGTTTCAGCATTTTTCCCTTTATCACCCTAAAATCCCCTCTTTCCGCCCCGCAGGTCTGTTGGAGTGCTGTGCCCGCTGCCTCATCGGGGCACCCTTTGCCTCGCTGGTTGCCACCGGGCTCTGCTTCTTTGGAGTTGCGCTGTTCTGTGGCTGTGGGCACGAAGCCCTCACTGGCACCGAGCAGCTCATTGAGACCTACTTCTCCAAAAACTACCAGGACTACGAGTATCTCATTGATGTGTAAGTAACAGCGCGGGGCTCCTCACGTCTCCATTGTGCATGGTGTGCCACTGTCACCCAGTCCTGCTGCCACCCACTGGGATCAACGCTGGCTGTGCTCAGCCTCACATGGGCACTCAGCCTCACATGGGCACTGTGGCTCTGTGGCAGCTGCTCCTTTCCTTTTCACTCTGTTCTTATCTGACCCACGCCAGGTGCCGTGGGGTGCACAGGACAGCCGCACCGGGTAGGTATGGGGGCAGGAGGAGGCCCTGCTTGGCAAGGTGCTGCCCCTCTCATCAGCTCCACCTGGGGACAGCAGCTCTGTCCCCACAGGAGGTGACACCCCACTCCAGCTCCCCGGGGCTGTGTTGGGCTCGGGGAGGGTAAGTGGGGCTGCACACGGGGCCGTGTGCCGCAGCACCGCCTGAGCATCCCCACCGCTCCTCTCCCCGTAGCATCCACGCTTTTCAGTACGTCATCTATGGCACAGCTTCCTTCTTCTTCCTCTACGGAGCCCTGCTGCTGGCCGAAGGCTTCTACACCACCGGCGCCGTCCGGCAAATCTTCGGGGACTACCGGACCACCATCTGCGGCAAGGGCCTCAGCGCAACGGTAACTGGGGGCCCGAAAGGGAGGGGAGCGCGAGGCCCCCAGCGAGCTCACTCTTTGCAGCGGGTGTGTCAGTGTTTGGGAAAGTGGCTAGGACATCCTGACAAGGTGATCTTAACCGGGGTTCGGCACCCCATCGCGCGCCTGCAGCGGGTTTGGCGTTGGCTGAAGGGCAGGAAACGGCGGCCGCCCGGGGGTCGGGGCGTACCGAGGGGAAGCGCAGCCCAGCAGCCCTCCCCGAGGCCAACCGTGTCCCCAAAGCAGCTAATATGGCCATGGCATTTGCCAGCAAACAAATTGCTCTGTGCTTAAGAACCACCTGGCAGAACCACGAGCATCCCTGCAAGGGCAGTGCGTGCTGTCCCTATTGCTGTCCTGCGTGGTGCCCAAGGACTGGTGCCCAAGTGCTGGGAATGGCCTGGGGGAGCAGAGGGGAACGGCTGCGGTTCCCTTTGGGTTCGGTTGGGGTGGCACCATGGAGGGAGGGCAGCAGAGCGGTGTTGCTCGGCTCAGGGGTTTTGCAGCTGCTCTCCCGCAGAGGTCAAACCCCACTGGCTGAGGAAGTCACCTGGTATGGGAAGTGGCACCAGTGTGCCACGGCCAGCTGGTCAGTCCCACATGTGTGTGGTTGGCCCCAGTGCCGCCCAGCTCGGGCTGGTGGTCCGTTGGGTGTGTGGGGCTGTGTTGGGCACAGCGGGCGGTGCGTCCCAGCCCTTCACCTGCCCCGTGCCCAGCCCGCCTGGGGGCCCTCGCGCTCCCCTGTCCCCATTCCCAGCCACGCTGTAACCCGCTCTGTGCCCTCGCCTTGTGCTGCCCCTTGCAGTTTGTGGGCATTACCTATGTCCTGACCATCGTCTGGCTCCTGGTCTTCGCCTGCTCCGCCGTGCCCGTCTACATCTACTTTAACACTTGGACCACCTGCCAGTCCATCGCCAACCCCACCAAGACCACTGCCAGCATTGGCACGCTGTGCGCGGATGCCAGGATGTACGGTGAGCACTGCATTTCCATGAGGGGTTACAGCTCCCGGGAGGGGTCCGGGCTGGAGAGGGGATGGAGAGAGTCCGGGGGGACATGGTTGGGCCAGAAGCACCAGCACAACACAGGCAGTGCAGGGTAGACCTGTCCTACATCTTTGCCTTCCTCCTGGTGATGGTCCCCAGCCCAGCACACAAAGCACATCCCACAACCCAGCATTGCTGCGGTGCTGAGCAATGGGACCGTTGGCTCACCCTGATCTGTGTCCACAGGTGTCCTGCCCTGGAATGCGTTTCCTGGGAAAGTGTGTGGCTCCAACCTGCTCTCCATCTGCAAGACCAGCGAGGTGAGCCCCTTCCAGTGCTCTCTGAAGCCCCCATAGGGCTGAGCAGAAACCTCTGGGAGCTCAACCCTCATCTTCCCTTGCAGTTCCAAATGACTTTCCACCTCTTCATTGCGGCCTTTGTGGGGGCTGCCGCCACGCTGGTCTCACTGGTGAGTCGCTGCTCCCGCTGCCCAGCTGTCCTCCTCCACCTGGCAAGGAGATGGGGGCAGAGGACAATGGAGGTGGTGGGCAGAGAAGTGACAGAGCCCGAGCTTGTCTCATTTTCTGACAATAAGGAGGTGGTGGGGGAGGCGGCCACTGGAGGGGATCTGGAGGGGCTTTAGGAGACCGCCGGGGACCGAACCCACACTGGCACTGCGGTGTCCTGCCTTGGCCATGGGGCTTTCTGCTGGCCAGGTGCTGGGATGAAGGGTGCTGGAGCACCGTCCTCCTCCTCCTCCTCCCCTGGCTCATTCTCTTCCTGCCCGCAGCTCACCTTCATGATCGCCGCCACTTACAACTTCGCCGTCCTCAAGCTGATGGGCCGGGGCACCAAGTTCTAGCCGGCGAGGTGGAGCCCAGCCAGACACGCACCCTCCTTTCCTCTAACCCCGAGGCTTTAACACTGCAGCCACCCGACACCAGGTCTCCTGCCTTAACGCTGCCTTCGCCGCTGACTCCCCTCCTCTTCCTCCCTCGCATCCATCGTGCTGAGCGTGACCAGGAAGAGCTTCTCACCAATGGACGCCTCTTCATGCACTTTTCTCTCTGTGCTCATCCATAACCGGTTCGCTCTAGGGCCAAAACCAGCAAGAGAAGAGGAGGGACTCACTCCGGTGTCCCAACGTTGCCTATAGGGATGAGCAAAAGCCTTCACGCTCCTGGGAGGCAGAAATCCATGTGTAGGTTGCTCCAGGAGTAGCGTGAAGGAGGCTCCCTAGAGAGAAAAGGAAGTTGGCCGGGTCCCGGTCCCATTGCTGGAGCCTCTCCTGGAGCTGACTGCCGGCACCTCTCCTGGATGGAGGATGAGAAGGATTTTTTTTTCCCCTAGTAAAGAAAGATGAATTTACCCCAAAGTGCCCGCTGCAGACAAGGCAAAGGGAGTTTAGGGCAAGGATCTTCCCATTGCGGAGAAGAGAGCGCTGACCCCGATGCTGATAAAGCCCATGTCCCTAACCCAGCTGCTCCTATTAAAGCCTGGAGGAGTTTGGTGTCTGTATGCAAAGGGCACCCTCGGCTTTAGGCTCCAGCACCGCAGTGCCGGGTGAGGGGACCGCCTGTGCTGTGCTACAGAGCAGAGCTGGAGCAGCCCCTTTGTAGCACAGGATAACCCACGGACGGCCCATCTGCTCCAAACTCAGCCATTCCTTCACAATGGTGCTCTTCTCTCGGGGTGACATTTGCTTCTGTAACGTTTGCTGTGCCTGCAGTCTCCGTTTTCGTTCCACATTCGCCCTCCCCACCAACGGGTGCCCCGCTCTGCTCCCCCCATCCCACCCCGCCTTGTGCTAACGCTTTGTGTTTATTTATTGGAGAAACTACTTTTAATGGCAGACCATCGCTCCATCCTGCACGGATATTTTATTTTATTATTGTTTTGGTTGTTTTTTTTTTTAATTTAATTGTCTGTATTACGATGATTCTGTCGGCTGGGGGCAGGGATAACGGGTCGGTCTGCTGAGCAGAGCGCTCCGAGGATCCTTGCTGCCCAGCACTGAGCTCAGCCATGCTACCAACGCACACGGGCTGGGGAGGGGGAGATGGGGAGAAACCAGGCAAGATCTGGGGGGGGGTCCATTTCACATCACCACCGTCGCTCTTGGGAGGGTTTGCTGGTGGGTTTTTGGTATCGATTTAACAACAAATAACCGGGTCCTCCTTCCCACCCTTGCCCCCAGACCCCAAACAAACACACACACACACACACGCACACACACACACACAGTTAATCGACTGAAAGTGTTTCCTTCACCTCTGATCTAGAAGTTCAACTCGTTAACAAGCAATAAAAAGGAGCAGGTTTTTAGAGACTTATCTTACAAGATGTATTTTATAAAGATTAAAGGAAATACATTAAAATTAAGAACATTCCAAACGAGATCTTTGTCTGGCTGTTGCTTTGTTGTGCTGCTTTCCCTCTTCCCCATGCCCCAACAAGGGGAAGGGCAGCATTGCCCACCCCAGCAGTCCCCTTTGGGCTCCATCCCTCCTTGTCCCCACCCCAGCAGGGGGCTCATGGACCCAGCCCTTTGTTTGCAGCTGGACAGCCCCGAACGTCCGTATTTCTCCTCAAGACCCCAGAGTGAAGCAGGATGGCCCCATTTGGGCACGTGGGCAGACTTGGCTGGGCCGGAATCCTTACAACCTTGTGCTCTGAAGGCAATTGGTGGGATGCTTGCTGCCAACCCACGGGTAGATGGCAAAGGGTTGGTGGCACAGGGAGGTGACTCTGTGAGGTGGGGTCTTTCATTCCCCACTCATCCATAACCAGCCCAAACCCCCCCTCTCCTCCTCACCCCCAGCCCCTCCGGGCAGCACTGATGCTTCCCCATAACTCAGCTGGGGGTTGCTCAGCTGCTCCCCCAGCTCAGCAGTGGGGCTGCTTGTTGCATCAATAGGGCCCTTTGTTCCCCACGTTCCCAGATGCCACCGACCTCCTCCCCCCACGCTGAAAGGGCCCCTGTGTGTGGGTGCCATCGGCCGTCAGGCAGGAGCGAGATGGGAACAAAACAGCATCTCTGTCCATTGAAAGAGAGCAGCGCTCCCCCCGGGAGGGGTGAGGGTTGGTGACAGTGCGTGAAAGTGGCCAAGGCATGGATCTGAGGGCTGAAGGACATGCCTGGCCTCTTCTGTGTGCTGCTGCCCCAGTACGTGGTGATGGAGGACCTGCTCTCACCGCCCCTTGCCTGGGCACGCTGAGTCCCCCGGGGTGGCTGAGAACAACCAGGGAACAAACCTTGCCTGGTAGCAAACCTCATTTCTGCAAACAAGAGCTGGCTGCAAACGCTTTCCCCCAATGCAGCAGCTGAGACGAGGCTGCAGTTTGCTCCCACAAAGGCTGCAGCAGAGCAAGAAGCCCTGGAGCAGATCCCAAGGCTCCTCGCTGCTCACCTCCTCTGCAGGGGTGAAGCAAATCCCAGCCCTCAGCATCCTGCACCCGCCGAGCACAGAGCCAGCAGCTCCCTGCCGCGAGAGAGCAAAGACGAACCGGGTCCTTCCCCGTGCGAGGACAGAAGGAAGGGGAGCGCCGCACCCAGGGATGCTCGTGTCGGGACGGCCCGGGGGGGTCCCCAGCCCTTTTCGGGATCACTTCCGAGGGCTGAGCCCCACAGCCCGGCCCTGAGGATGCCGGCTCCCATCCGCAGCCCTCCGGCTCCTCCTGGCGGCCTCGCACCGCTTCTCGGCTCGAGTGCGACGGGCTGATCCGGCGAGCAGATAGCTGGAGGTGCTGCGGGCCATCTGCCTTCCCAGAAGGTCTCACCTGCAGCCTCTCGGGCGCCCAGCTGCTTTCAATCTGGTTTTGCACACCATTTGGCTCTGCTAGCAAGATATCCGGGACCTGAGAAGCAATAGCATGCAGAAAGGAGCGGCAATAGCACAAGCAGATGCTGTGCTTGGCTGCCCACGAAGCTGGAGACCTGTGCTAAATGTGGCCACGTGCCCCCCAAGGACCCCCTGAAGCCGTTGGGGAAGAGCTGCTCCACCAGCCCTGCGTTTTTAAGCCCTCCCTTTTTACCCATCTTCAGGCACCGGCAGGAGAGCACATCCCCATCCACCTCAACTGCTCACAAAGAGCCACAGAGCCCTCTGCTGCTGCTCACAACTCTCATATCCTCGTGAGGACTTGAAAACTGAGAAGCAAGAAGACATCAAAGGAAAAAAAAAGAAAGAAAAAAAAAAACCAACCACCAATAAATGAAAGGTTCTGTCAATGGTAACAGTAGGCTGGGGCCCTGCAAACACAAGGAAAGCATCACAGAACGAGCGCCCACCCTGCAAGGCAGCAGCAGGAACAGCCCCATATGCCCACGTGTTTCAGCATCGTATGGAAGTCGTGCCAGGCTGCAGCTCCCTGCAGCCTGAGGGGCTGCATCCAACGGCACAGGAAGAAGGGGAAGGAAAGCACAGCTTGCTGCTGAGAGCCCAGGCTGACAATTAAAACCTAGTGACAGGAGGAAGCGGTGTGAAATGTTTCCATTCCAGAAGTGTTTTCTGATGTACTCCTGAAAAGACAAAACTCATCAGTGGGCGCAGCTTGTAAATAAGTTACACTCAACCAATTCTCTGGATGGATGCACTCAGGAATAACCTGAGTTTAAGTAAAATGATGTGATCCCTTACTGGCTTCCCCCTGCCAGAATTGGCCCTCAGAACTGATCAACCAAGAACGCAGCACTTCCCAAACTCACTTGAATACATCCACGTTTTATTTGCTTAAATAAAGGTAGAATCTCAGTGTTACAATTCCAGTTTTGTAGCAATAGCAACAACAGCAGCAGCATGAGTGGACACAGGGAAAGGAGGGCTGTTGGTGCAGAACTTTGCAACAGAGAGTTCAAGATTTGGGCTCCTTCAGGAATTGTGCGTCCCTCAGAATAAATTGAACAGCTTCAATATATTATACTCCACCTCTGAATGGATTTTTAAAAACACATAAGCCTAATGCTTACGTTTGGCTGAGTTAAACTGAAGGAAAATCTAGATAGAGGCCTGCAGAGGTCAGACACTGCTAAATAAATAGACCTAATTCCTAAACGTATGCTGCACCCACGGAGGCAGAGACCTGATTTTCTAGGAGCTTCAAGCACTTCCTATCTATTGGTGTGAATGTGAATATCCAGCCCCCTTTCAAAATCAGATTCCCCCTCCTCCCCCCCCCCAGGACTTCGTATTAAAGCTCAGCCCCTCCCACGTGTGGCTGCCCCACAGAGAAGAGCAGGATCACCTGAGCTCCCAGAGGAGACATCCTGCAAGCTCACAGACTGCAAGGGGACGGGGTTTCGCTGCCACCAGCCAGTGTGAGAGCAGAGACTGCCCTGCTCTAAAGCACTGAGTATACGAGGCTGCTCTATTTGAGCTACACAATCAGCTATCCAGTAGCTCATCACAGTGGGCACTGCACTCAGCAGGTAGCTCTCCCCATGCCAGGCTCCTAAGTGCTTACAGGCAAAGTCATCGTTTTGGACAAACACTTGCACAGGAAGTCGCAGAACATGAGGTTACAATGGCAAGCCAGAAAGCACTGACCTCTTGGCTACACACAAACAGCTCAGGACTAACACCTAGCAGGGAGCAGGAGCTGGGATCAGCAAAGCTTGGCATCCTTTCTTGGAGGGCTCCCTGCCCTCCCAGTACCGTTCTTCAGCCCCTTGAGGAATCAGTCCAAATCTCTCCCCAGCACAGCTGCTCATTGACAAGGGTCAATTAACTGAGTGGACGTTCTCTAGCAGTAGGATGCCAGCTGATCAGATAAAATGTACTGGATTCCCTGTTAGGGAGTAAGGGCTGGGGCAATGGTGTGAGTAAACCGAGCTGAGCAGCACAGCCCCTGACACAACAGGTAATCACGGTGAGTGGTTTTATGCTGCAGCATTCATAGAATCAGAGACACACAGAATCACCCGGACACAGAGATTACTTCTGACAGGAACCAGCTGAAGGTTCACGCTCCAGATCTCCTGAACTCCCAGCTAACTCAGATCCTGTGCCACGAACTGCTGAGTGGCCACGCTGGAACCTTCCATCCAGGTCTATTCAAGGCGTGAGAAGCAAGATCTGGTGTTGAGCCTCCAGAAGGGCTGAGGAAACAAGCAGAAGCCGGTCTCTCCATAAAACAACACCCAAACAAGGCAAAGTTAGAAGGTGGAGAAAAACAAATCAGAAACAGCTACGAAGAAACGATGCTGCAGCATTCAGTTTCTTCTCTCCTTCATTATGTTACTTGATATCAGAGTTCTAGCATTACTCAGCACAGAATGCATTGATCCCAAGCAGCAGATGTACACATCCCAGCCTCTCCAGGATCTGGCACTCTCACAACTGTGTGGGCTACAGTCTTCCCAACAGGTTTCACTCACACTGCTGAGCAGACTTTGCTTTGGCAGTAAGGCCATGAGTTTAGCGGGTCTAGTAGTTTTTTGAGTTCAGGACTAAAACATTTCAGAGCTTCTGGAGTGCCCCCCAGCTTTGTCCTGCATGCAGTTCTTGCTACAGGTCAGAATTCACTCCCTTTAGTTTAACCCAGTCCTTTAAACCTGCTAAGACAGGCAGGGACAGGAGCAGGACTGCATTCACACGCTCTTCGCCAGCACTCTCCTGTAGATTCATCTTCCACATCTGAAAACTCCAGTCAGAATTCAGATAGTAAAGCTGCAACCCCCCAGCGTGCAAACCACCCACCGTCCTCACGGCCACCCTCCTCACAGTGCCCCCTCTCTCCTTGCAATCCAACCATCGGTTCCGGCGACGTTCCCAAAGCAGCAGCCGTCCTTAACAACAGGAGGACCCCGATTTGGAGCTGGAGTGCAGGTCGATGGTGTGGCCCAGCATGCAGTGCTCCAGCTGCTCCTCCACCGCCAGCACCTGGCGCACAGCTTCCTCAAAGGCCACGGCCACGTTGGTGTCATCCTTGGCGCTGGTCTCCAGGTATGGATAGTTGCCGTTCTCCATGCACCAAGCCTGGGCCTCCTCTGTGCTCACCTGCCTTTCAAGTTTGTCAATCTTGTTGCCCAGAACTACGAAAGGGAAGCGTTCGGGGTCCTTCACATCAGCGTAATAGACAAACTCCTTCTGCCAGTTGCTGAGGTTCTCAAAGCTTTGCCGGTCATCCACGCTGAAGGTCAGCAGGCAGCAGTCAGCTCCCCTGTAAAAGGGGGTCCGCAGGCTCTTGAATCTCTCCTGTCCCGCAGTGTCCCAGATCTGGAGGGTCACAAAACGTCCGTCTACCTCCAGGTCCCTGTTTAAGAACTCCACACCAATTGTGTGGAAAGCCTGCGAGTCAAACTTGTTGGTGACGTACCGGTTCATGAGGGAACTCTTCCCAACTCCACCATCTCCGAGCAGAATGACCTTTAAGAGCAAGGACTTCCCACTCATTGCAGCAGGACGGATGGCCACAGGACCAAGGCAACCTATAGAGTTCAGAAAGAGTGAAAAATAACTCTTTGAATTATGAATCCTGCAGAAAGTTGCACAGCTGATGGCCTACAACTCCTGGCTCTTGAGCTGGGAAACTGGCTTCGTCTCCACACGCACTCAGTGGGGCTGAAGGAAGTAAATCTGCACCCCTGGAACGTCCCCCAGTTGTCTTCCCCCCTTCAGAAATTAAGCAGCACAGTGCTGAGATGGTGGAGCACACTGGGATAAAGAACACAACGTTTGTGGCCCTCACCATTACTCTGGTATTCCCAGAAATGTTTAGGAAAGAACTGGAAGTCCACTTCAGGTTTCAAGTAGTAACATTTTTTACTATTATTCCATCTCTCTCTTATTTCAGGGAAGCAAAACTCCAACTTCTGGATTTTGATGGGGGTGCACAGGAATAAATAGTATTGCTATCTTCGTTTCTGAACAAGCTTGTGAAAAAAAAGGTAATCTCTCTTGTTAGAGCACCTGGTAGAGTTGGCAGTTAGGCAAGCTGCCTGGCATACAACTCCTCCATCAGGTCTGAAACGGAAGCAGCAGCTCTCTGCATGAAGCACAAGGTGACAACAGCTATTGAGGTTGTTATGGACCCATTACATCACCCTTGTCAAACACTTTGTGTACCTGAAAGCTTATCTCGTTCTGTCAAACATACCAACACCAGGTAAACACCTCTTACTGCCTCAGCCCAGCACAGCAACAGCTAACCAGCAGCAGGAATCACCACTGCCAGGCCTGCCTTCTTCCTGTACAATCACTGGCTGAATCGCTCCCCCCGTTTGGCCACGAGGATGTAAGAAGTGTACAGACCTAACATCAATACAAGTCATCCAGCAAACCAGCCCTTAATCACCCCAAGCAGGCTGACTCACCTTACAAGTACAGCTGTGCTCGTTTTCCACCCACAAGCCCTACAGCTCGGAAGGAGTTTTCCCATATGCAGAGACCTGGCTTCTCTGCTGCTCTTTTTTGGCACTGCTTTTTGCAGCTCGCTTTGCTACAGCACAGGTGTGAGTTCACACTGCAACAACCCCGAAATCACCGGTTCCTTAGTCAGCAGGCATAAGAGAAAAGACCAAGTGCCAACCAACCCTCCCACAGCCAGGGATATTCCACAATGGAAGATAAAGCCCTGACGTGGAACGAGAGATTCGTTTTGTTGCTGTCTGTACTATACCTGCTCTAGAAATACAGCACTTCTGTCTCCAGGACTGTCCAGGAAATGCCTTCCTCCAGCATGACAGTCACTGCAAAACAAACATCAGTCAGTGAGGTTGCTGTAGCCAGGCTCAGCGTGCTGCCTTTGAAGCTGTAACATTGACCCAGGCTGGACAAACAATGGATGAGTTCTGGGGTGCCAAAAGCACAGCACTGGTGACTAAACCAGCCGGGAACAAGGTGTGAGGACACGGATTCCCTTGCCCTAAGTATAACAGAACACAGATCATTTCTGACCGGAGCAAAGATGTTAAACCCCAAAGAAGAGAAGAATAAAAGAAAGTGCAACCCACGCCTTCCCTTCATCCAGGAAACAGCTTTGATCTGCCTGCCCTCACACTGCTATCTGACCTGAGGATGGAACACATACCTGGATCCTCTGCCCCTCAGTGCTGAGCCAGCTGGCAGCAGCCTGCTATGGCAGGAAGCACGGTCTGCTCCCTTACACCACAGCCCACATTCCTGGGCAGGGTGAGGAGATGCAGTGCTGCTGAGTGATGCCACCGGCTGGTACAGGGCTGCTGTGGGGGTCTGATGCTGCTTACAGCAGCACTTCTATTCCTTCCAAGCCAAAAAGCACCAACCACAGACAGCCCTGCTCAACTTTATTTCCTCTTTTTTTTCAGAGCTCTTTCAACCGACGCTTGCCACAAAGCCCAAATCAGAAACTTCTGCTTTTGCTCGCAGAGATGCTAACTGAAGCCTCCTGATTTCACTTCCCCCGCCCAGAAATACCCCCAGCCACACGCAGCTGAGCAAACTGCAGACACCTGAGCAGCATCCGTGCGACCCAACGGTACCAAAGCAAAACGTCAGCATCCCAAGAGCCCAACAGAAACTGCAGCACGGCTCGGCCTTAAGGCACACCCCGGGGGTGCGATGGATTCAACACAGCCCCAGCCCTTTCCCAACCCCCTGCTGGGGGATGGGATGCTGCACACCCACAACTCCCCCCCCAGGACCCAGCGCTGGGGATGCGGCCTGAGGGAGGGGGGACAGGGGATGTGCGGGGCTAGAGAGGGATGCTCGGGGCTGAGAGGGGTGTGTGAGGCCAGGGATGGATGCTCGCGGTACCGCCCGCCCTTACCGACCTCCAGCCGCCGCCGCCCACCGACCCGACCCGCCGGGGGCAGGTGCCGGCCAGTCCGGCGCATGCGCGGTACATGCGCATCTCCGATGCGCCGCGAAGGGGCGTGGCCACTCGTAGCCCCGCCCACCGCCGTGAGAGGCCACGCCCACCCCGTGCCTGCCAGCGATGCGGGTGCAGGCAGCGTCGTGCTGAGCATCCCCTGCTGTCCCCCGCTTGGTGGCACCGTGCCTCAGTTTCCCCACTCTGAAGGAACCTCCCGCCCTGCCCTCCGCCCCGCTGGGCCCGGAGCGTGAGTCTGTGCGAGGCTCTTCCTTTAGAGCCGGGGTTGCTTACCGTCACCTGGTGCCAAACGTGCACCCGAGTGCATTTTGCATGGAAACGATCAGATTTGGGGTGTGAGCAATAAGGTGCGGTGCCACAAGGAGCTGCTTCCATGCAGACTGCAGCGGCTGCTTGAGCCCCGATGAACTCATTGCATGCCTCGCACTGCAGCTGGACCTCCAGCCTCCTCCTGCTTTTTCTGGACCCAGTAACCAGCTCTGCAGCTGCTCCCCCAATACCCTGTAGCTCCCAGGCACAACAACTGCTCCGGACATCCTGGTAACACGAGGAGCTGCAGGCGTCGGTGGGGAGGGGGCCGGGAGAGGATCTGCCTGCTGGGAGCAGCTGGCTGGGCTCTGGCAGCTGAGCACTGCCCAGCTCATCGCAGCACATCCTCCCACTTCCCATCGGTGGGATGCTGGAGGTGTTCTGGGAGCATTGTGGGAGAGGCAGCAAGAAGAAACGTGCCTGGGCAGCTGAGCTGCTTCTCTGAGACACAACACTGCAAGCGTGGGCTCGTCCCTGCACTGCTCAGGCCCTGGGGTGTGGGAGCACGTGCTGCCTGCAGGCTGGGTGCTGAGGTTGTGTCCCTGAGGTGCTGGGTGCTGCAGCGGGCAGGCGGGCAAAGGCAGTGGTGAGCTGCTTATGCCTCACTTCCCAACCGCAGCTCATCCCAGGAGTCCCTCAGGTGGTTCTGGGGGATGGGATGGCAGAGGTGAGGTTTTTACAGAGCCCATCATTCCAAGCAGGGGACAGCAGTGCTGCTGCAGCCTCTGCGCTCAACCTGATGGCTTTTCCTAGAGCTGTGCTGATTTGGCCCAGCGCTGCCCTCCTCACCCTGCGTGTGTCCATCAGCCCTGAGTAATTCCTCCTGCAATGCCCCAGGCGCTGGGCTCACTGCCAGCCAGGCTGTGGGCACCACAGGCATTGCCAGCACCCAGCTGCTCCCCTCTTTGCCTCTGAGCCCTCCGCCAGCCCCTTGTGCTCTACTGCTTGCTCCAATTCTCACCTTCTCTCTGCACTGCTCATATGCCACCTCCCTGCACTGTGCATGGCATCAGCCGTGCCTTCCTGTGCAGCACAGCAGTGATACAGGAAACAAAGCCATGGATAGCATCAAGCAGAGCAGCTGGAAATGCAGAGGGCAGCACAGCAGCACTATGGGAGCAGGCAGCAGCCTGAGTTTTACCTGGAGGTAAGTGCACATGCATGGCTGTTGTTTGGAAGACGCAGCACGAGGAAGCTGTTGCTGCATGCTTATCTGCTGCCCATCAATCTCATGTTGGTTCCTGGAAAGCTGTGGGGGTGGCTGGCAGGCACTGGATCACTGCTCCACACTGGGACACAGCCCTGCACTGGTGATGAGTGGAGTCACCACAATGTGGGCATGGGATGGAGATGGAGGTGGCTGCAGCGTCCTGGCTGTGGGAAGAAAGTGTCCCAAAGCAATGCTGGAGGGGAGCTGCTCTGTGCCTCAGCTTTTGGGGTCGTGTCCACCCTGCCCTCATTCCTTGTTCTTTTCCCATCTCAAACCCCACTGTTGCTGCATGGCTCCGTGTCTGCTTGGCTACCACCCATCCCTTTGCCCAGTGGTAGAGGTAACTTCAGGTGATCGCCTGCAATCCCTGCCTGGCCCTACACCTTCCTGCTGGGCATTGCTCTGTGCAGGTCAGAACCTCCACCTCACTCCCACATCCTCAGGGTGCTGCAGCTGCTGCCCAAAATGGGGATAAATCACAGAGAGGGGCCAGGCTGGGGGGGGGCAGAGAAACAAAACCACTTTTCACGCCATAATCCTTTGTAATAAAGCACCGAGGAAAGGGGAGAAAGACGATAAACAATGTCCCTGTGTGAGGCAGCTGCTTCCCAAAATACAGCACTGCCCCACGCCGTCAGCTGCCCCTACCCAGCACAACTGCCACGTGTCACCAGAGCTGCCTTCCCCATGGCAAGCACTTTTTTCTGCTCATGGCACGCCGGGGGAATGCATGCAATGTGGTGGGGGGCCCCGATGAGCAATTTTGGCCACTCTCTGGAGCTGTTGGTCACTGCTGCACGTGTGGTGAGGAGCAAAGGCACGCAGCAAGGCGGCTCCCATCCCTTCCCCATGCTCAGAACAACCTAGGGTGCAGCACAAAGCTCCCCACGGTGAATGTGGACCTCCAGAGCCTCTGAAGGGCTCTGCTGCCAGGGCTGTGGCCAAGAGGGCAGGGAGCTGGGAGCACACCAGCTTCATATTATTACGGCCTAAGCCCTTACTCACTGGGGATGAGCAAGCTGCTGTTCATAAAGCTGACCTCCCGGGCATTATTTTGAGAGCAGTAATAACTTCTCAGCTTCTTGGGGAGGTGTTGGTGCGTGCTGAGCACTGCACTCAGTGCTGCTGGCAGCTTGCTGGCTCGCCCATTGCTTTCACCTACTGCTGCATCCCCTCTGCTTTCCCTTCCTACCGAGCTCACACCTGCACTGTGCACACACCGTGCACGTATGCATGGCTGCTTCCAAACACCTCCTGTGCACGCAGGTTTTCCCTTGCAGCTCATGTTTGCTCTCTCTCCCTCCCTGCAGCTGTGCTTGCACAGCAAGGGGACGCGGCCCCATGCCACACTGCTAGGTGACAGCTCTGCCCTGCACACGGAGGAGCTGCAGATTTGCATGGCTGTGAAGCTCAGAGCGTGGCTTCTTCGCCTTATCGCGCTCGAAATGCCCGAGATTATCTCCGTGCAAACCCATGGGGCCAAATCCCCTCCCGGCTGAGTCAGTCCCAGGGGAGGGGGGGAGGCACCCATCCCAGCCACTGAGCCGAATGGGCCCCGTGCTGCTGCTCACCAGGTATTTGTCCTGCAGAACCCAAATAACTCCCGACGGTGACTCAGCCACCTCCTCCCTCCTTCGCAGCCGATAAAGCCATGGGAGGAAACCGCCCCAGAGCAGCCGGACGGGGCCCCAGTGGGGGGGCATGGATACTCGCAGGACACAAGGGACTGTGGCACTCAGCCCCTCGGGGATGGTCGCCTCACGGTGCAGCATCACCTGCACCAGTGCTGCCAAAGCCATCACAGTTTGGGGACATCAGCCTGGCAGGCATCCCAGCTGCCCACACACCCAGGTGCGCTGGGGTGAAAAAAGTCCAGGGCAGGGAGGGAGGGATAACATTGGTAGAGAGCTTTTCTGTAACGATCCTCCCCTTACTGGCCAATCCTCCTCCTGCAATGGGGGCATTTGGGGCTCTTTGCCCTCAGAGCTGAAGATCACAAGAATTGGGTGAGGCAGCTGCTACCTCCCTGCCCGTTGCTTTGGTGAGACAGTCCCCGTGTTTCTGCAGTCAAAGCTGTTGGTCGGTCCACTCCCATCTCTGCAGGCACAACAGTTTCGCAGATGAGCCTGGAGCAGGTGAGGAAGTCTTGGGAAACCTCAGCAGAGCCCTGGGGATGCACACAGAACCTCAGAGTGCCAGGCTAGGAACATATGAGAGGGTACCAAGCCCATCTGAGGGCTGCAAAAACCTCCTTCAGCCAAGGGCAGGGGCTGAGGCAGGTGAGAGAAGGGCTGTGCCAGGCAGCAAGGGGACAGACCCAGCACCTGTGGGACCTGGGCCAGTGCAGGAAGCTCCAGCCCAGCCCTGCAGCAGTGCTTTGGGCAGAGGACACGAACTGCTCAGAGCAGGAGGTTCGGTCCCCACCCTGAGCTAGGCTGCCCCTGCAGGGATCTCTCTGATCAATGCCAACCTCCAACCCTGCCCTTCCCATCCCCAAGGCTACACCTGAACCTTCCCCAGGGAAGAAGCCACAAGCCAGAGAGAGGTCGTTATACTTTTGTTTTATTTTATAATAAACTTCTCATTTTTCCCCAAGGAAGACAAATTGTGAGTGAGGCTACAGAACACCATCAGTGAAAAGGATGACATCGAGGCCGCGGGCTGGCCAGAAAGGATCCCACTCCCCCAGTGCAGAGCTCTGTCTGTCCCCAGGAGCCTCCACAGCCTCTGCTCACCTCCCCACGCATCAGAGCAAGGTCAGCACGGTCAGCAGGCATCAGCTGGGCAGCACCCATGGGGTTGGGCTGGGCTGATGGATCGGGGGGCCACACTTTGCGTCCCCCACTCACCAAAGCTGCCAGTGAGGCGGGGCAGTGGGTCAGACGATACGGCTGTTTTCTAGACGTGTACATGATGGAAGTTTAAAAAAAAAAACAACCAAAAACCAGATGATTTAATTCATAGAAAAGAAAAAAAAACAAAACAAAAAACGATCAAGTGGTGGCTCTTCCTGCCGGACCATCGCTCTAGGAAGACTTCACACATTCCTTCTCCTGCTCGATGGCTGTAAGAAAAAAAAAAAAGAGAGGTCCATTAACCCCCACTGCTGCTCCCTAGGAACAGCCATTGGCTGCGGAACGATCGCTCAGAGCCCGGCAATGGGTTTTATTGTCTGAACCCAACCGCAGTCAGAGGGCACCGAACATCCTCCCGCAGCTTCCCACCGGGACACCCCCACCCCGAGGGCAGCAGCCCCACGGACGGGACGTGACCCACACAGCTTTGTCCCAATGGTGGGTACGGCACAGGGAGCGCCCCAACCCCCCCCTCCCGCCCCCGGGTGCATTTTTCTGCGTTTTTCTCAGCTACACCAACCGCCTCTCCCCACGGATTCCT